ACTCAGCCAGTTGCCCCAGCTCAGCCCGTTGCAGTACCACCAGCTCTACCAGCTCCACAACCAGCAAAGGACAAGAAGAGGAAGGCGAAGGGCGCACAGGCAGACCGGAGGACGAGACAGAGACAGATTCCACCATGCCCGACTTGTGGCCGTCTTCACAGGGGAGAGTGTCGTGCCGGACAGGATATTTGCTATTTCTGCCAGGAGCCAGGACATTTTGCGAATCGTTGCCCGAAGAAGCTTCAGCAGCAGCCTCAGCAGCCACAGCCACAGCAGCCACGACAGCAGGCACAGAGGCCGCCGCAGCAGCAGCAGCAGCGAGGCCGGCAGCAGGCCAGGGTCTATGCGGTCGACCAGGCAGAGGCAGCTCAGCAACCAGGTACAATGTCCGGGATGATCATTCTTAATGATGTTCCTGTATTCGCTCTATTTGATACCGGAGCCACGCACACCTTCATATCCCGACGGTGTCTCGACGCCATCGGAGTTCATGCAGTCACCGCTGTCGATCCTCTCGAGGTCAGTTTAGCCTCGGGAAGAAAGATAGTGACTTCAGCCAAAGCTACAGACCTTAGCCTTTCCATCGGTGGCCGAGTATTGACCGCCGACGCGTTCGTTCTCGAGATGAAAGATTTCGATCTTATTCTTGGGATGGATTGGCTTTCTTTCTATTATGCCGATATCAGGTGCCATGACCGGGAGATTACTTTCTATCTTCCGGGAGACGAGTCGATTACTTTCTTCGGCTCCAAGAACCGTTCCTTGCCGCATGTCATATCGATGGCAAAAGCCACTAAGCTATTGCAACGAGGCAACTGCCAAGGTTACCTGGTAAGCCTAGTTGAGGATTCTCAGAGAGCGCGGACACCTCATGATGTTCCTATCGTTCGCGAGTTTGTTGACGTCTTTCCAGACGAGCTACCGGGAGGACCGCCCAACCGTCAGGTGGAGTTTTCCATTGATCTTATTCCAGGGGCTGGTCCAGTGTCCAAAGCCCCATATCGCATGGCACCTAAAGAGTTACAGGAGCTTAAAACTCAGATCCAGGAGCTTTTACGACTCGGTTTTATCCGACCGAGTGTGTCACCGTGGGGAGCACCCGTTCTCTTTGTGAAGAAGAAGGACGGATCTATGCGAATGTGTATCGACTACCGGGATCTCAACCGGTTGACGATCAAGAATAAGTACCCGCTTCCCAGGATCGACGACTTATTCGACCAGTTGAGGGGAGCCTGTGTATTTTCGAAGATCGATTTACGGTCAGGCTACCACCAACTGAAGATTAAGGAGTCAGACATCGCTAAGACCGCTTTCAGGACTCGTTACGGCCATTACGAGTTTGTAGTCATGCCTTTCGGTCTCAGCAATGCGCCAGCAGTGTTCATGGATCTCATGAACCGTATCTTTCATCCATACCTCGATCAGTTCGCGATTGTCTTTATTGACGACATTCTCATTTACTCGAAGAGTCAGAGAGAGCATGAGGAGCATCTGAGGGTGGTTCTCGAGACCCTCAGACGAGAGAAGTTATACGCTAAATTCTCCAAGTGCGAATTCTGGCTTCAGCGAGTATCTTTTCTGGGTCATGTTATTACCCAGGCAGGCATCGAGGTGGATCCATCTAAGGTATCAGCCGTGCATAATTGGTCGACACCGAGAACTCCGTCCGAGGTTCGCAGTTTTCTCGGATTAGCTGGTTACTATCGCAGGTTTATCGAGGGCTTCTCTAAAATTGCCCTTCCCCTTTCCCAGCTGACCAGGAAGACTGTGAAGTTCGAATGGACTGACAGATGTGAGGCGAGCTTCCAGGAGCTCAAGAGGAGATTGACCACAGCACCGGTGTTGACCATCCCAGATCCTACTCGGGGTTTCACTATCTATAGTGATGCTTCAAGGCAGGGCTTGGGGTGCGTCCTTATGCAGGACGGACAGGTCGTTGCGTACGCTTCACGACAGCTTAAGCCCCATGAGCAGAATTATCCTACGCACGACTTAGAGTTAGCCGCAGTCGTTCACGCCCTGAAGATCTGGCGTCATTATCTTTACGGCGGACGCTGCGAGATATTCACAGACCACAAGAGCCTACAGTACATCTTCACACAGAAGGAGCTTAATATGAGGCAGCGCCGTTGGCTCGAGTTGGTCAAGGATTATGATTGTTCTATTCAGTACCATCCGGGGAAGGCGAACGTCGTCGCAGATGCCCTAAGCCGAAAGGTGACGGGAGACTTGACGTACGTCCTCACCCAGCAGAGTCCATTGATCCAGGAGTTCGCCCGAATGCAGCTTCAGGCGATTGACGCACTCCCTATAGTTGTTTCGGGGAGTACTAGTGCCAGTGTCAATGCTATTCAGTTGCAGCCGACACTGAGGGAGAGGATCCGGCGAGAGCAGGCTTCTGACGAGTTTGTACGTGTCATGGAGGCCAAGGTTCGCGCCGGAGGAGTACAGGACTTTCAGTTAGGCGCCGATGGTGCCTTACAGTTCAGAGGCAGGATCGTGGTCCCGAAGGCCGAGGCATTGCGGAAGGAGATCTTATCTGAGGCACATACCGCACCTTACTTGGCCCATCCAGGGAGCACGAAGATGTAC